TACTACTACTACTACTACTACTACTACTACTACTACTAATACTACTACTACTACTACTACTACTACTACTACTACTACTACTACTATTGCTGCTGCTACTACTACTACGACTATTACTACTACTACTACTACTACTGCTACTACTACTATTACTACTACTATTACTATTACTACTATTATTATTACTATTACTGTGATTACTATTACAGCAATTGCTATTCCTACTGCTACCACAAATCAATATTACCGCTTACGTTACTATTTCTATCGGTATCGTTATTATTATTTCGATCATCATCGTTATGACGTCATCATATTATTTGTCATCGTTTCCATTATCATGAAAAACGTCTTCATCGTTAGAATTATGATATGATAATTATCGTCAAGAGATTAATTGAAACGCTATAGCGTATACTAGAATATTCGTAACGATAAACGACGACGTAACGAATAAATTTAGCGACGAAGTAAATACATTTAACGTTATAAGTCGTATACATATTACACATATGAGAATTAAGGAGAAAAGCGTATAACTGTTTCGTGTACGTATATGTGTGTTACACGTGCATGGGTGCGCGTATGCGTCTATATGTATATGTATATATAACCAAGTAATTATAAATAAAAAGAAATTCATATGTATCCGTACATGTATACGCGCATACATACGCACATACGCACGCACACGCGCGCACCTTTATTTTACGTAAAGGTATGGTTTTCCACTCATTTGTTGTTTCGATCATCTTTTATCTCGTGTATTCTCATGATATTCGCATCATTGGAAACTAGCTTTATTTTTAACTTTAGATGGAATAGCGTTAAGGATTAGGATGTTGGAGACATAACGCGCAGCTTAGAATCGAGCTCATCTTTCATAGTACGAATAACGTTTGTAATAAGAGGAAATAATTTACGATTAGAGGTAAAATATGTTTCGAAATTTACAAATAGCGACTCACGATCGTGTTGCGTGTTTACATCAGTGTGTAAACCTAAAGCGGATACGAATATCGTGTATGGGCGTGGGTGTGTGCGTGCTCATATACACGTCTATACATACTTATACGTACGATACGCATTATCGAAGCATCTCTTGGCGCTCTTTTAATTATTGTACTTGACGTTACATAGAAGTCAATGTGTCGAACAAGAGAGTTAGTTCTCTTTAATGTATTATCCATTTGCCAAAAAGAAAGAAGAAACAAAATTTCAGGTCATTTATGTGCTTGATCTGTAAGGTGAATACATGCGTTTTAGCAATTTTCCATTCGAGTTTTATATACATACCTCGAAGTTGGTCATGTAAACGTTCGAGCCCAGTTGCTTTATATTACAAGTATGTAGTATGTATACGTTCAAAACGAGCATCATCATCTTTTCGTATCGCCGCGCCGCACCGCGCCGCGCCAATTGTTAACGTACAATGTTTCAGGATATTAGTCGTATCGGATTTGAAATGAATCCAAGTTGGAGCGGTTCGTTTCCTTTCAACTGTTACCATTCATTTGCCGATTTAAACTTTCGAAACTTTTATCGTACGAAAAAACTTAAAATTCCTGATTGATTAGTGATTCTGATTGGTCTGCGATCATTGTATTCGAAAGAAAAAAAAACCAAGCACTCGTCGAAATGCCGAAAGGAAGAAAAGAGCATCAACAAAATTCAAATTTCAATCGATTCGCCGTTTTACTTGAAAACGTATCGTGTCCAAAGGAGCACGATATAATCGAAGACATTCCGAAGTAAATTTTTCCTTCTTCTTTCTTGTTGCATACACGCATGCGCACGTATTCGTCGTGAAAATACCGAAATAAAACAACCGATATTTGTTTCGGGCTCCCGTTGCACATTTTCGTCTCAATCAACGCACCGGATACTATTTGTATTATTTTTATTTCGAACAATATACAGATAAAACTTGCGCGATATCGATGGCATCGATATAACGACAGTAATTAAAACAGGGCTTCGTTAAATCGTCATGTAATGACATAACGAGTCTTTTTTTCTTGTTTTCCTTTATTTTGTTGTTTTATCATAAAAGTGTTTGCGTATGCAATAGTTTTGCCGTATGCGCGACACGGTATTGTCGAATCGTTTCAGTGAATACGTCTAGTGTCATCAATGAATCGGAACGAAGATTGTTACGTTTAATCGGAAACGATGCTTAATAGCCGGTTGTTACACGAAACATTTCGGCAGGCAAAGTTAAATTTTAGACGGCTCGAGAACTTGAACGTAGCTGAACGATGCGATAAACGGAACTTGAATCTTGAACTTGAATATATGCTCGAGATTTGCTCTCGTTTTCATCCAACGTACATGCGACACACACACGCACGCGCGCGCACACACACACACACACACACACACACACACACACACACACATACACCTGTACTTAGGCGAGCACATTGTGCACACAGTTGTTTCGCGAGCGCACGAATGCACAATGCACGCGTGCGCTTATAAACAAAGTATGTATCTAATAGAATATCGATGAATACTTGAGAGCGAACAAAAATCGAGATATCTATTTACTAATTACTATAGACGTCACTTGTGCAGACATAAACATTACAGAGAATCTTCTGTTACTCATATTATTGCATATATATACATATGTATATGTATATGTATATGTATTATATATGTATATATGTATATGTATAATACATATATATACATATACATATACATGTATATGTATATGTATAATATATATATATTATATATAAATTTTATTGTATAAATTCTATCGAGATACGCCTCAGAGACAGACTCTTTGTATCCTTTTTTCTCGGTCTGTGTAATTTTTTGTCCGCAGTGAAATTGTATAGATTATGTAGGTACTTGGCTATCGTGAGAATCACGTATGATTCATTTGTCTCGATATGCTAAATGTGAAAGGCGAGTGCAATTTTTCAAATATTATGCACTATCGCATCGACGTGACAGTTTCACCGTTTGCATTTTAATTTATAGAATGTACACGCATCGAGAAATCCCAGACACCCGATATTGTACTCGTTCACGTATTTCTATTCAGGACTTGTGACAATCAATGCCAATTTTCAAGTAATATTTTTTTTCCTGAAAGGGACTGCGACAACAAGGACAAAAAATGTAATAGTAATAATATTAGTAGTAATAATTGTAACAACGACAGCGGCAGATGATAACAATAATAACGATAGCGATAAAAAAAAAATGGAAAGGTCAAACTACAGCAAGCGAGAGAACGACAGATAAATAGATAGATAGATAGATAGATAGATAGATAGATAGATAGATAGATAGATAAAAAGGAGATGTTGATAAAAATTTGACAGAAAGTAAATTGGATATGTTGGCTCGAGTGGTATCGAAACGGTTACGATCATGTATCGCAGAGAAATTACTTTGAGAAATACGTTACTTTTTGATACGCCCTTATAACGCGCGCGTATGTATGTAGGTATACCGAATGTATGTACATAGTCGCAGCTTACGATAAATATTCACATGCTCGGAACTCGTTTCTCCTGTTATAAAAAAAACTGTTTCTAACTCGCAGCCATGATATTAAAATTATTTGGAAAATTTACAAGTTCCTGAAAATTTGGTAACCACGTGGTGCGAATGACGAAAAGATGTCGAGTGTAGCCCGAAAATGGTGTCGTGGGATACTCTAGCTCGGAGGCGTATCTCTTAATAGTTGGCCTAGTGTATCGAGTTTCGTATTTTTGTCCTGGTCGCAGTGGATCGTCGAGCAATTTATCATCATCTATTGTACGACTATTGGACTTTCACCAAAAATTTTATCGATATAAACTTTATCGCTACCGTTGAATGTAATATACTTGAAATTATAACTTGGATGATAAAAACTTGGGTATAATTATGATTACGTTTTACGTTTTATGATTACGATTACGATTACGATTACGATTACGATTACGATTACGATTACGATTACGATTACGATCACGATCACGATCACGATCACGATCACGATCACGATCACGATCACGATCACGGTCACGATCACGATCACGATCACGATCACGATTACGATTACGATCACGATCACGATCACGATTACGATTACGGGCAAAGTATGTATCTCGAAAATGGAAAGCGAGCGATACGAGCGATATGGAATGAAAGGAGATCAAAGTTGAAAGAAAGGGGGAGCTTGAGTGGATGGGATAGAGAAGGAGGCAGGAGAGAGAGATCGAGAGCACGGCGAAAGCCAAGTTGGAGTTTGGGAGAGATCGATCGATCGATTCACGTTTATTAGGAAACATTTGTTTATTAGAGCCTCGTTGCAAAGAGAGAGAATGAGAAAGAAAGAACAAGCGTGTGCAAGGCCATTTAGCGAGCCGTAAAGGCGAAAATTTTAGGTGGTTGATAGAATTATTGTAGAATATAAGCGGGAATGTCGCGGTGGGTGTGCGGTGACGTTATTATAACGAAACAATGATAGGATAAAGTAACGATATACATAAACAACAAGTCTTTCCACATTGTTTTCCTTTCGTTGACGTACACATGTCACGCAATCGTGTGCGGTGAACCAGGAATGAAAATAATTTTGTATCTAAGAATACAAACGCAATGCAAACTGCTTATCGTTTATGTTTTTTCATCTATTGTGTAATTATACATTAGTAACGAATATTATAATTACGATAATTGCTGTACTTATTGTTATTGTTCCTGGGTTATGCGGAAATGTTCAAAAGTGATCCATTTGTACAATCATTGAGTCATTAAAATATGATTATCCAGTACGATAACTGTTTGATCAATACTGTTGTATTCGAAAATGAAGGAATGTCAGGTATAGAAGATATTCTCATACTTTTGCTTCGTTGGGTAATTAATGAATTATCAACAGGTGATTTCTGGACGCGCGGTATCGATAAGACGCAGGTGTGCAGGAATCAACTAATCCAGTAATCGACTAATCTCTTTCGAATCGTATCGCGACTCAGAGAGAAGATTTCTGAATGCTTTCTCGCTTTTAATAAAGGTGTATGCCTCTATTTTTCTCTGATAATCGTCAAGTTCATTGGTATTCAGCTGTACGATAAAGCACTCGACGATAATTTTTTGTCCCCGAAATCAAGAATAACGGATAATCAGCTTTTCGTTCGATTAGTCGAAGCCGATTCCTCGATCGACCGACCGACCGACTAGAACGATGAAATACCTGTAACGTTAATATTAAATACCTCTGAAACTATCAAAATTAACCGATATTTACCAGTATTATCGTTTAATTATATCACGAGTAATCGCGACGTGGGCGCGGCGTGCAGCTGATAGATCTGATTGTGAGACCACGGTGCGGCATACACGTAATTAGTTGATTACACCAATCAAAGGGGTAAGTACAATAGTTGGACTATTTTTCGATATGCATTCCTACATTCCGATTCGAATAAAGTATACGTGTAACGTAACGATATCGTTATACGTATCCGCAGAACAGGCAAGCTAAGGAGCGAACAAGGAAGCTGACAAATTAAATCCAACCAACGAACGGATAAACAAATATTTCTTGACAAATATTTAATATGAGACACAATCAAATGCTACGCATTTTGTTGATATTCTGTTGGTTTTTACCATTATCGCATAGTAATAGAGAAGAGTATCGTTGCGTATGGTATGGAGACTGTGGCCCTTCGTTCGAAAAGCCAAGTTTGAATTATACGTGTGCCTCCGATGATCCTCCTAGTCGAATCAACGATACCAAAGTCGCGATGCTTTTGCGCGATAAATGCCCGCAATACTTTAAAGACACCGGTATGTTACCAGCGAATATGAAACAGATATAAAAAGAGATCGTATCGTACACGTATATTGTTGTTTTTAGATGATCCGAGATTATGTTGCGACGTTACCAATATTAGGACGCTGCTTAGTCAGATGAATATGATCGAGGGGATTTTCGGCAGGTGTTCAACATGCGTGAAAAATGCGTACAAATTAATATGCGATTTAAGCTGTAGTCCTGAACAGAGTAGGTTCATCAAAGTTACAAAAACTGATAAAAATAACGAAGGCAAGGAATACGTGAAAGAAATCGAGGTAATCGCGCGTACTGCTGTTCGCGTATTGCGAAACTTGTAGAAAGTACAACCCAACAAGAACAAGTACTATTCGTACGCCTACTTTAGCATGTAATCAACAAGAATTTATGTATACACGATCGAACATTTAATATATTTCATAAATGCTCGTTAGGTTTATATCACGGAAGAATACATGAATACTACTTTCGACTCTTGCAAAAACATAGTTAATCCAGCTAGTGGAAATTTAGCCATGGATTTGGCTTGTGGTATTCACGGAGCCAGTTGGTGCACAGCGGAAAAGTAAGAGTTTAGAAAATCGTTAAGCTTTCCAAAAGAACCGTTATCAATGATTTATAAAATTGATATTTTTAGGTGGTACCAATATCAAGGTGATGTGGATGCGAATGATTTTGTAACTTTCGGAATGCATTTCATAACCAATACCACGAATCGTTGGGACGAATCGGTAAAAACATGTAACGAAGCGTACAATGTAAGTCCGATAAACATTACGTATTTTCGATTGGCCAGTACCTCGAGTACGTTTACCTCTTAAACAAGATTACTGTTACCGTCGTTTAATAGGGCTTGTCGGCGTGTAGCTGCGTCGATTGTCCAGCAGCCTGTCCTTTCACAAAAATAGAACGAGACGATACCCACTTTACTATTTTCGGATACAACGGCTATGGAGTTTTAGCAGGAATTCTAGTTACTCTATTCATCTTATCAACGGTAATCGTTTACAGACTTGCCAGAAGAAGACCTTGTTGTTCAGGTATCATCATCTCGTACAATCGTAATTGGCGTAACGAGTAAACGCGATGCATATCGCGAAAAAGATCTCCGAGTAACGAGGCTATTTCATATTGAAATTTTGTTTGTTACAGGTACTGGTTTGGCTGACGACGCCGACATCGACGATAAGATAGAGGAATCGAAATCAAATTGGCGCGAAACTTTTCACGATACGTTTCGTGTGTTTTTCTTTGCTTGGGGTAAAGGTATGCTCGTACCCATACACGTCTCGTTATTGATATAATTAATTTATTATTATTATCATCATCTTTATTATTATTATTATTATTATTATTATTATTATTATTATTATTATT